TTTTTTTTTTTTTTTTAATTTTGTTCGAATTTTATGATTTTTTTTTCGAATTTTGTGTTATAACACATTCATATAAAATTGGCCACATTTATCAATTTATAAGGTAACATATTTTTTGGCCACATTTAAAAAAAAATTTAAAAATTGAATTTTTTATTATTATTTTTTAATAAGGGCAAAATAGTATTTTAAGGGTGCGGTAAATAGTAAAAGTGGGTGCGGTGAATATTAACACTCTTTGTGTTATGGTTAATAAAATAATTATTAGTGTTAGGGTCATCCGGATAAGACAAAAGAAAAAAAAGGCACCTAGGTCATTTTTTTTTTAAACAATAATTATATTAAAATTGAAATACTAAAAAATAAGTACAAAAGGAATGCCAACTGACACAACAGGAACCAGAAACTTGGACCTATCCTCTTGGACAAACACATAAGTCCAAGGAGTACAAACTTCATCAAGGAGATAATCGCACACAAAAACCCAATTCTAGAAAGGATACTAAAACTCCACTACGGAGACTTGATGCCAGACGCATCTGGACTTAACAAACAAAAAACACAAGGAAAGAAACAAACAACTCACAAGTGGTGGATGACTTTATAAGAAAACCATCCTATGACTCCATAGATTATTTGTTAAACTCAACTAATTCATAATTTATATATATTGAAAGAGATTGTTGGAATAATCTAACATATTAACTTTGACTTTGTAATTAAATTGGTTGATTTACTATTAAAGGAAATATACTACTCCCTTCTTTTTCTAATAAGTGTCATTTTGAGAAGTTGCACAGTAATTAAGAATTTTTTTTTGCCAATAATAACACTCATTAATGAGGATAGAGATGGATGTTTTGAGAAAAGATGAAGAGTGAATATGAAAAGATGTAGTGTATATATTAGCTAAATGAGGATAATAATGGAAAAATATGCACAAAAGACCCAAAACGTTATTTATTTGGTTAATTGTTGATAAAGCCAAAGTGACATTTAAAAAATAATAGTAATAATTACTTTAATATTTTGAAAAAAAAAATCAAATTATACCTACCTGTTGCTGATCGTGCAATTCAGTTAATAGCATAACTTGTTTATAAATAAAGGGGTATCGAATTTGAAAACTATTTGTCATAAATACTCACAATAAAATTCGATTCTTTATACTAATTACAAATCACTTAAATTTTTTATTATTTTGGTAAATCAACCATATACCGTGATTTTCTACAACATGTCTTGAAAAAAAACGACTATTAAACAGGTTTTGTTTATACAAAAATTATTTGAATATACATGATAAAATTGCAAATATAATAACAAAATAAAAATTGAAAATAAATTATGTTGAACTGACATGCAAATTATCACTTTAAAAATTAAAATATAAATGTTAATAATATATATTGCTATAAATTATGATGACAAATTAACGGATCATCCGTTAAACTATCCATGTAAATTATTAACTTAGAAAATTTTTTGTAATGTTTGTTTTTATAAATTATAATGAAACCAACAAATTATCTATATATCGAAGCTTAGAAAAAATAAAAAAATATTTATAAAGTATATTGTTAATAGATTATAAATATTTAAAAATAGTATAATTTGTCGGCGTCAAACTGTCATATAAATTAATAGATTGCAAACAAAATTAAAAGTACTTATAATGTACATCATTATAAATCATAAAAAAATAAAATAAAATAATATTTATGTAATTAAAATTTTTTAACTTCAAAATAATATATCTTGCAATCTTTTTTAATTAATTGATGGTCATAGTATTTTTTTTTTTTTAAAAAAAATAATTTTTTAGCATAACATACTTAGAAATTAAAATATTGTAATAACATATGAGTAAGAGAAGATAAAGACGAGTATTTAAATGGAATTTTATATTGATAATGTTTGAATATTTTAAATTTTAATTTTTTTTAATTCTAAATAGGAACTTTACAATGATAGATATTTTATAATGGGTGAAATAAGCATATAAATCATATGTTAAATTATTATATAGTTACTCAAAATTATTTATACACTAATTAATATTATTTCGATGCTTTAATACATGCAATTTATAATTACTCATAGGCAACTTACTAGTACTAGTTTATATATGGGAGATTGTTGAAAAAATTTGGTTCAATTGTTTGGGCCTTGGTTCTAAAGGAGTGGTTGACATTGGGCCCACAAGCCAATTAATAAACAGAAAAGAAAAAAAAGAAAAAAAATCTAAACCCTAGAAATAACAACTATTTCTCAATTTTGTACTCCATCTTCCTCCATAGAAGAAGGTAAAAGTAAACTTCATTTTCATAATTATTTATTTGTTATATTATTTAGTTCCAACTTCCATTTATGTATTTCTTTGGAGAAACCCCATCCACCCTAAAGAACATCGATTTATGCTCATCCAACAAATTATCATATAATATTTACTATGAGATGTGTCCACTCTTCAAGTTTTACATAAATCTTGATACATTTACATTTAAAATTTGCTTAGATTGAAATTCTTAGGAATTACAAACTTCTATTAGTTCTACACATCCAAGAACACAAAAATTTAATAAATTTGACCTAGCAAAACACTTTTTATTCTTTTGAAATTTATCCTCAATCCAATCACACCACTAACTCTAAACCCCAATTCTAACCATGGTTAACCATTAATTCAAACTATATAACTAATCAATCCCCCACTCATGACTCATCCCCTTCCCACACCCCCACCCCACAAAAAAACCCATTTATATATATATAAAAAAAAAGGTTTGAAGTATTTGTGAAGCAAAAATCCCAAAAACATAAAACAAAAGCAATGAAGGTCAAGGATTTGAAGAAATTTCTCTCATCCCTAATAGTCCCCCCATTGGCCTACCCTTGAAAATCCATTTACTGGTATCTCTATTTCTCTATCTACGCTTCTATTTCTCTCTCTACGCCTTTCTGATTTATTTTTGGGTGTTTGCGGCACTGTAGTGATTTGGAAACAAAAACCCGTATTTTCTCTCTCTAACACTCCATAGAGTTTCTAGAGAGAGAAATGAGAGGGACCTGAAAAAGAAAAATCCCATTTTTTTTTCTCATGGGGGGTCTAAAATTTCTTTCCGCACACCAACTTTTGTCCCGCCAAAAACCCATCTGAAAATTCATCGATTGGCGAAGGTCCATGGATCTCGTCTTTTGAAGTTCGTTCGTTTACACGCACTTGCACCGGCACTACGTTTTTTTAGTGTTTATTCGTTTTTGTTTTTTGTTTTTTTTTTCTTTTAAGCTTTGTTTTTCCTGAAGAGTTTATGGTTTTCTTTGCATTCTAACTGTGTTGAGCAGTTAAGGGTTTTAAGAAAATTTGTTTTTGGAAATGGCGTGAAATGAAAACGAATTGTTTTTAAGGGTATTGAGGAAAGTGTGAGAAAAAATGGCAGGATGGTTGAGCAGGGATACTGCGTCTAGCGTAGACGAAAGCCAACTAGAGGGTTATTCTGATATCGTGAGCGTAAAAAATGGGAACAAAAAGGTTAAAAGTTAAAACGTTGTGCGATGTGTTTATTACTGCTTTTCTAAAAGATTTTTGTTTTGGTACTAAATGTTTCAGGCCATTGCCGGTGTTTGGTGCGGTGCAGGAAGTCGATTTGTTTGAGCTTCACGTTGTTGTGAAAAAACGAGTTGTGGGTTCGAGTCGAGCTTTGGGTCTGGTTTGAAATTGGTTTATTTCAAGTATTTGGATACACTGGATAGTTGGCTGTTTAAAAGTTTGAAGGATAAAGTAGTGGAAGATATTGGGATGGAAGAGGAAAATTACAGTTCCAGTGGGCCTTTTATGGAGTTGCAGTCAGATTTGAAGGCATTTCTGTCGGATAAAGTTGTAAAAAAAGATTTTGTGGGGTTTACGAATGGTGCATTTGGAAGTGGTGATGGGGATTTGGGTTTTGTGGATATAAAACTCGATTGGAATGTGAAATATGATGGAAACCAGTTTACTGATACGGTTGGTAATGGGAATGAACAGAAACTGGGTTTGGACTTTGTTAGCAGGAAAAGAAAGCGCGGATGCTATTTGAGCATGATAAGTTGGATCCGTGAAGTCGCGAAAGATCCCTGTGATTTTGGTATTGAGCCGATGCCCGAAAGGCACAAGTGGAAGTGTTATGGAGCAGAGATGCCGTGGAAAAAGATTCTACAGGCACGTGAAGCTATGTTTTTGAAAAAGAATGTTGATGCAAGCTCTCAACAATCAATTTGGCAGGTCATATCTATATATATTATATATGAGTTATATTTTGGCTATAGATGTTATATTGAAATTTCTTATTATGTTGTTTCGATAATATTTTGTTTGGGTAATTGAATCGCTTGTGGATGTGTGAGAGTGAGAGTGAGACAATACATACACTTCTTTTGGTGGTTTGTTAGATTTATTATTGTTGGTTTTCAGCTTGTGTCTTATAAGGTTCTAAACGGGTGCATGGTATTGTAGATTCTATAGTTTGTAGTCAATGTATGTTGATGGAGGAATTTTGACCATAATTTTGTGACTTGTTTTTCTGTGTGCTCTGATGTATATAAATTCCAACTCGGAGAATAAAACTAATTGATACCATGAGACACAGCACATAGGCCATTTTGGTAATAAGTTTATGGTTGGAAGTAGGATTTTCAGCGTAGTGCATTCTTTTATATTAATTGTCTAAATATATGTTTGATATACCTCTCTGAATGCTGGAGCCTGTTGAATATGATGTTCTTGCTTGGGACTCAGTATGAAAGATGTAAGAATCGATTGCCATGTGAGCATTGTATTTTACCGTTGTTGTTGAATTAGGGATGTAGTGGGTTTGGTTGAGACTTGAGTGTCTTAAACAAGCATGATCCATAGAAGTATTTATCACTATAAATAGAAAAAACATTCTTTCAGTGAAAATATTTGCATTGATTATTAGACTAGTGTAATTACAGTTTGCCTCGAAACTATGAGCTCAAACCCACCAGGATACATTGAGCAACCGTATCACATGTGCATGCATTCAAACTAAAATATCACTCTGAAAAACAACATAAACAAAAGTATGGCATTTCATAGCATAAGTATTCATTTTTGAGTTCAAATGTATGAAGGGTTGACCCGTCTAACGGTTAGGCTACCTCACACAAGAACTTTATTGCCCGGTCTTAACTAGTTAGATTGAGACATTTGATCATTGTCTTTCTTAATAGTGAATCATCTAGCCCACTTGTTCGTTATATTGAATTCTAATCTAAATTAAGGACACCTACAACAATGCTTGTTATTGACGATATTGAAGATTGCTTAATTATCAACATGTTTTTAAGAAGCTGGCGGTCGAACATCTCTATTTATAAAAATTTTTATGTACGAATTATTCGATTAATTTCTTTTGCATTAGTTGTCCTATATGCATCCTTGTACAGTTATCCATTAATATTTAATACTGTATTGGATATTACTGTCTTTAGTATAATTTTTGTTAAATACTTTCCAATACCTTTTTGCAGAGAAAACAAAAGATGCATCCAAGCATGTATGAAGATGACCAATGTAGCTCCGAACGGCAAAGATGCAGTCAGAGGCTCCTGTTTGCAAAAGATCCGTCTCAAAAGCCGCGCGAACGCCTTTTTCAAGAATCGAGTTCCTCTGATTTTCAAAGTGACGAGGATAAAGCCGATAAGCTTTTCGATTCAACAGCTGAGTCAGCTAATTTTTGCGGAAATCAACGTCGACAGAAAAGAATTCCCATTGGTCCAAATTCTCAAGCTGATATACCCGATTTTGTTGGTGAGAGTTATTACAGAAGTGATTCCCAATGGTTAGGCTCTAGAATTTGGCCAATTGTAAAAGGGGAAGAACAAAGGAGCATCCTAATCGAAAGGGATCCTATTGGCAAAGGAAGACAAGAAACTTGCGGCTGTCAATATCCGGGCTCATTTGAATGTGTAAAATTTCACGTCAGGGAGAAAAGAGTGAAACTAAAGCTCGAATTAGGCTCTGCTTATTCTAAATGGAAATTCGATAACATGGGTGAACTTGTTGCACTTTCTTGGACGAATGAGGACGAGAGCACATTTCAAAGAATCGTGGACTCTAATCGGTTATCTTCTGAGAAATATTTTTGGGACGAGCTTTTCAAGTGTTTTCCTAAAAAGGGTCGTGAGGCTTTGGTGAGTTATTACTTCAATGTTTTTCTTCTGAGGCGTCGAGGTTGTCAGAACCGATGTGGGACGAGCGAGATTGATAGTGATGACGAGGACTCTGAGTTCGGGCCTATTGGTAATAGGTTTGGACAAATTGCTGCTAACTCTCAAAGTTCGATCTTTTGTTCTCCTAAGAAACCTCACTTGAATGTCGGTCATAGAGGGAGCTAGACGGGGTTCGAAAGGAATCCCCTTCCAAGAAAATACTTCTGTGATGAAGGTTAGAGGGTGGTTGGACGTGTAAATTGAAGCGGTTTTTTTTGGGTTGGAAAAAAATGAGTTTTTTGTCATTTTTGGTTTTGGTTCGTCGAACAGTTGAATTCTGAAGCTTTAGGGGACATACATTTTTCAGAAGGTCTGTTAAAAACTTTTCCAGGTGATCAGCAGTTATGGGTTTTCTTTGTTTTATTTTTCCTTTTTCTCCTCCTTTTGTTAAGCCAGCATTATTTTTCAGTTTTAATTCATTTGTGAATACTGGGAATTCATTTTGGGAATCATCGGAGTTGCTTGTTTCTGTTTCTGTTCAATTTAGCTTGTCATTTGTTTCTGGAATATTTTTTCATTTGGCTTTTTTAATGGGCATTGTGAATGCCACATATGAGATGATATTGTTGATTTTTGATGTGGTGTTTAGACAATTGAATTGGATAGATTTTATCTAAAAAAATTACAAATTCTTGTGCAAGACAGCTCAACTGTTAGACGGATCTGACTCGTCATACTGTACGGACAAAATGCATAATTGTACCATTAAATTTTATGTTTTTATTTATGTTGTTTTTTAAAATAGGATATTTTCTAATGAAAATATGCATACTTCAGCCTAAAAAAAATAGAGATATAGGAGGGGTTAGGATGTGACTTAAGCAATGTATTTTTTTTCTTCCTTCAATATATTACTTGTGTTTTAAGTGTGAAAATTGAATTAGAGGGTTTGCAGATGGTTATTAAATTTGGTTTGTGGATTGCACCATTTGTAACTTAGAAACTAAATTTAAGTAGTTTTGGTTGCAAATGACCTAAGAACATTGAATCAGAAACATATTATTGCCAGCATATACATTGTTTGTACTGCCAACATATTTAATTGGATGCCCATATCTAATATACTCCACTTGTGATTTGGGTCAGACAATGTTTCAAAATTCAAAAGCTATCCCATTCATTGAACAGAAATTTGCATAGGCTACTAGACATTTACAACATTATTGCACATTTACAATCCTTAAATTTTTATTTGCATATATACTGGAAGTTGTTTTGATAGGTAACTCCCCTAATTATATGGCCTCTCTCCTCTTCATCCCTCTCTCTCTCTCTTCTTCACGTCAGATCTAATGTGAACTAGATTTCTTTCCTTCCACACATATTATTTCCATATCAACATGTGCGCAATCAAATTCATACACAAGATACCCATAGACCTTTCAACACATATCCTTTACTTCCCAAGAATTATTTATATTTTTTCTATATTTCCTTCTTCGCAGCAGAACAAGTATGTACATAGTATAAAATTTTTGTTTATCTCTTCTGCAAATCTCGAACATCAGATTTCTTGTCTTGCTCATTTTTTTTCTGGAAGGCAGTAAAAACCTTGTATACTACTTCAACTCCAAGTAAGAAAATAATGAAAATTTTCTTAGTTTCGTCTCAAACCTCCTCCTATAAAAGGGAGGCGCCTTTGGCTTTTATTCGTCAAACGAGAAAGCACAAAACAGGTATAACTATCCTCTTCCTTTCTTTTTTCTCTTTCCTTCTGTTATTGTTGTTAGTGGTTTGGCTAAATTCGAAACTTATCGCTGCCCTTTTTATTTTTTCCTTGCTTTTATGTTGTTGTGCTGCTGCGTGTACTGCAAATTTTTTGGCCGACTTCTTCAAAAGGTTCTCTCATCAACTTTCACCTCGTATACTCCCTGCCATTCACGTGTTTGATAAATTGCCCCAAAGGCTAACATATTTTTCTTCCAATATTTTTTTTTTCTTCTCTCCTTTTGCTACGTTTGAGCTACAACACCCCATTCGGCACGCACGTAAGGCTCTATGGGCCATTCGTATGAATGTCGGGGCTGCTAACGGGCTCTCTGAGCGTTGTTCGGCGTCCTACGGGGCTGCTTGGGATACTCGGGCTGTTAGTACGCTGTCTGGGACGCTCGTACGGCTGTTTGGGAGTTGTCAATTGTCATGGATGAAACGCGGCTGTCTGAGAGCTGTTCGGGCTGAAACAAAGCTGTTTGGGAGCTTCCCGGGCTGAAACGAGGCTTTCTTGCCGCTGTCCGGGCTGAAACGAGGCTCTCCGACCGTTGTTCTGCTGCCTACGGGGTTGCTTGAGCGAGTCATTTGTCTTCCAGTGAAACGAAGCTCTCCGGCTCTTAATTTGGGTTCTGAAATGAGAAACGATTGAATATCGAGAATATATTTTATGTATATTTTATGTTTATGTGTGTCTCGATGGCTTGAATTCAGAAAATCTCGAGTGTATATCTTATGTATATTTTATGTATATGTGAGTTCCGAAATCGGTTTTGAGAAAAGATTGAAACTCTAGCGTATATTTAAAGTATATTTTATGTATATGTGTGTCTTGGCTTGAATTACGAGATTCTCGAGTGTATATTTTATGCATATTTTATGTGTATTCTTTTAAAAGTATATAATCTGCAAAAGAAAATCTCAATAAAACTGAATACAATATACTTTAAACATATACAATATGTATAATATGTATATGATCTGTATATAATACGGAACACATACCAAAAATTCAAACTATTATTTATAGTGAGTTTTATATTATTATGTATATGATCTGTATATAACACGGAATACATACAGAACATATATCCAGAACTTATACCAAAAACTGAATACAATATACTTTAAACATATACAATATGTATAATATGTATATGATCTGTATATAATACGGAACACATACCGAAAATTCAATCTATTATTTATAGCGAATATTATATTATTATGTATATGATTTGTTGTCTTTATATTCTGAGCGTGTATATTATACTATGTATATGTTCGGTCGGTGCTTATAGTAGGTAGAAGAGTTATGTTGTGATCATGTATATACTGTATATTTCTTGTTCGTGTTTTTACTGTATTTTGAGAGAGGAAGTACGTTTGATTTTCAAATTATACTCCTTTACATGTTGATAAGAACAAATTTCTAATGAATAGTTCATATTCACTTACCTTTTTTATTTCCAGTGGATTCCTACAGGTGTGTGATTGTAAGAAGGTTCCTTTGATAACGGAAGTTTTTATTTCAGCACCAAACAAAAGCAGTTTATTTTGGTATGCATGTTAATAAAATATCACATCTCATATATAAGAAATATTTTAATATTTTTGTGGTAAGTATAAAATTTCGTCTAAAGAGAAGGAATCAGATTTCAGTTGGCTAGAATTTAGAATTTGACATCACAAATGTATTTTTGTACCGTGAAATGTCATACTTTTATTTATGACATTTTATAAAATATGACATTTGAATATGAAAGTATATGAATTTGTTAAAAATGTGTGAAACTAATCATTAGTTTGCTTAACATCCGTATTACTGTTGGAACATTGCTACTAAAGTTGATGATATAAATTTATTTATCACAAATATATGCACAACATACATTTTTTTTTTTCAATAAAACCTTATAATAACTGTATATATAGAGCTTATACAGTATGTTTATTATCCGCGCCCTAGATATATACCTCCAATAAAAATAGTTTTTGTAAAATTGTCATACTTTTTCATTATAAGAAAAAATACCTTAGTATAAAGAAAAGACGTTAAATTTGACATTTTCAAGAAAAAGGAGGAGTAACAAAACTTTATTTTAGGTACATTACTAATAAACCTAAAATATTATCATTATGGATTCCATAAAATAAATATTCACACAGTGGTTGGATTTAGGTAAATCATGTCTGTACAGGTGTCACACACATATAATTGAATATACTGTAAAAATTATTCCTAAATGTTATGGAGACTTAAGTAACAGTACTAGTTTTGTTTTACGTTCATTTGTTGAACACAATTATCACCAGATGCCTTTATACATAATTCCATTTTTTTTCATTTTGAATCACAATATAAAACAAACTATAATATCCGAGGGGTATCTTTTATAAGCTTATTTTTGACGAAACAATAGTAATTCAAATGATATACTGAACTCTGAACATCTTAATATTTCATTCCCCTTTCCTATCTTACTTTTATTTTCTTTTATTTATTTCTAACAAAATGAGAAAATATAAGCATATAATTATAACATGAAAAGAAAATGATTGCCTTAGGTTCATTGAATCAAGACACTTGGTGAATACTTATCTAGTATCCTCATTTTTATTTGTTAATTCATATTTCTCTCATTAAAATATAAAATGAATAATAAATTTTCACCATAAAAAATACAAACTAATAATTATTATTATATGTTTTTCAATAAAAAGTATTATTAATTTATTCACATATTTCTAACAATCTATTTTATCTTTAATTTTATATCGGATCAACTTTAATTGTATTGTTATTTTGAATTACACAATTTCAGTTATATCTTACTTTTCAAAATAATTATTCTACTTTTCCAATATCTATATTCACATGAGACAAAAAAATTGAAAAAATATTATGCCAATTACAATAGTTTCTCAAGATGCTTTGAAGCCTTTGTTTGCTTTTACCTAAATGTTTTTTGGTGGTTGAAGAAAATATCTTTGATTGATTAAAGAAAAGAATTGCAAAATGTCGGAAAGTGTGGTTTTGGTTGCGTAATGAAATATAAAAGCTTGTTGTGCTTCCCAACTATTGAAGCCACTAACACCTATCCTAGGCTCTTAGCATATAGTATTATTTTAATTTATATGTATAGCCTTACTTTAAGAGTTTGTATAATATTCATTCGATCATTGTAGTTACTGGTCATTTTGGCAACTTATTTCATAATCTACATTATTCTATTTTGGCTTATTCGAATTACAAAATTAAGAGATTTATTATTTACAAGTTACATCATGTTACAAAAATATAATATCTACTTTTTAAATGTACATGATCAATGAAAATGAATATGAATGTTTGGTTTTGTCAAAATTAAAGTATGTCTATAGGTCAATTAGAAAACTTATGCTTGAGGTTTGTCCAAATTAAAATTTTAAACTTATATAGGTAACATTTTTTGACTTTTAAATGCAAAATGTTACTCACATTACAATCAATGCAAATTTTGCGGGGAGATGATCAATTAGATGAGTTGACTTATTTTACTTTTAAGCAAAAAACAAGGATATGTCATATAATATCGTGCTATAAATTTAAAAATAGATAAATAAAAATAGTATGAAAAATCTAAATATTTATTGAAAAAGTATATCCATTTGTGAGGAGTTGTTCCTAGTTCATACCAACCTTATGGTACAATTAATACTTATCTAAATGACATGAAAAATGTAAGGATTAAATTCCTTTATGTAACTTTACTACCAAAATGTTATTA